AGGTAGTAGTAATCTAACTGCACGCCGGCCATGTACTAAATTCAACACGTCTTGGCGGCATTTGGGGCGTGCTGATGAACTATCCGCCATGTTGAAAGTGCCTTCCAGAGAGTCTCCCTTGATTTCGTAGTAATTTATGGTGGCTGTGAGCCAGCGATACTGAGTTTTATGAGAACCCTTACGTTTGTTCGACGCTATTGGAGAAAACACCAGAAAAGATTCGGTGATTCCGTTAGATTACAGCAATCGAGAGTCATATCTGAGGACAATAACTATAGAAGTAGTAGTAGTGGTAGTAATAGTAGTAGTTTGTTACAAGAGCTATTAATTATCCCAGTACTCCTGCAAAATAGTTTATTGTAAATACTGTGGTTCACATAAAAAATGAAAATGTAGAATAATTAATTATTTACCATTAAATAGAAAAAGAGTTGACCCGTCAGCAGCTGGAGAGTAGATTGATGATTTTTTTTTCCTTAGCTTAGTGAAAAAGGCCACTGAAAAATTATTACGATATTATTACGAACTACGGCAAATTGTAATTATGGTGGTTTTTACGTTTATTATAGAGCATCTTGGTTTAAGAAATGCAGAACTGACTCAAAGAAGTAATCATACTACAATAGAAGTACTGGTTACGCAAATACGTTTCCAGAGAAAATTCCTTTTTGATCATTTTTTATTTTCGAGGTAGGTTTTAAAGCCGTTACCACTCAGTTGCTAACATGCTTTTAGTTCATTTGTATAGCTTTGGATTATTTTAAACATTCCGAAATCTTCTAAATAAAACTTCTAAATTTCTTTCTCATTTATGTCCCTTAAATAATGAGAAGATTAGTACTTGTTCTGGATGTAGTGTAGTCAGGAGAGAAGCGTATGAGTTTACCAAACTTTGGAGGTAAATGGGAAAATTTCTTTTCGGCAAGTGGTCTCGTGGTTTCCTATTCACATTCGGAAGAATCAAAGAAACAGAGAAACAGCAGGGGACCTCAAATTCTCCCATTACGGCAGGGAAATATCTAAAAAGATCAAATCTCATTGGAGTTTCACAATTGAACTAGGAGTTATGAACGGAAAAAGCGCCATGGAATCTGATCAAAATCCTTCTTCTTAATTATTTTTAGTACTTCAAAGAATATAATTTATTTCTTGATTAACAAGATTGAAGAACGAGGTTGAGTTTAGCGGATCGATGTTAATTGAGAGTAACTTGCTTCGATAGCACAATCCTTTTCAAAACGTTTATTCAACCTTATAGAAGCGTCTTCTTCGTAAAGTTACCTTTACTTCATTTATCACTTCAGAACACTTTTATTTGTTTTAAACTAAAGCGCAAATGTCAAAGGATTATGAAGCCCTTTAAAGATTTTGCAAGGAAAGATATAGCTACGCGAGTCTTTCACAATTATAACCAGCCTGAAAGAGCAAGTTAGTAACGTGCGTCATAATTTCTCCAGGATGAGTTGTCCATCACATTCTTGTAAAAGCCAAGCCCACAATTTCAGGAGGGTTCCCTGTTTATTTTACATAATCACCATCATGAGAAAGTTACTGACTGATAAATATTTACAAAATAGTATTTTAACGATAAAATGGTCTCATAGCTAAAAATAATGCAAATAATTTTCATGTTGTCAATAGACTTACAAATTTAATCTCGGTGCAGTTTTATCGATACCTGCTCATTTTCAAAAGTGTTCGTGGTGCTACACAATCAACCATGTATTATGATAACTGAAAGTGCATCTCCGATCTCCAATAAATTCACCCCGGTGACACAAGTTAAACTGAACAAAATAAGCCTGAGGATAAATGGTGAATATTGCGATTGAATAATCTGATTTGATAGCCACTGGCTATTAAAGAAAACTGCCTAAATGGTCACTAAGTGTCGGGCATGATAAAGAATTGGCCACAGAAAAACTATTAAATGCCACAATTTGCATGAATTAACTCGAAGGTCAGTATATTGGAAAAGACGGGCTTGAAAAGCAGCACCTGACAAAATTTGTTCCACTGGTTTATTGTTCTTGTCTTAGTATACAACGGTTAAGTGGCTCGTCTTGGAAAGAAGGAATTGTGGACGCACATCTATTGGTTGTTAAATTTTTTTCAGCATGTGGTTCTGGATTATCGCCTTCCTTCTAACGTTCATAGCAATTTTCGGTAACGCTCAAGTTATTTATCTTATCTTGACGCGAAAGCACCTACGCACAAAATCAAACTGGTTCGTGTTGTCACTCGCTGTAGCAGATCTCGCTTTAGTTTCTGTCTTTATACCGCCTCACTTCTCGTGCAGCATAACCCACTGCAGCCATCAGATTGTCATTCTTCATTTTGTGTCATATTTTGGAGAAGCGTCTGTTTCCAACATGATCGCCTTCACAATGGACCGTTACTTCGCTATAGTGAGGCCACTGAAGTACCCGCTCATTATAACAAAAACAAAGATTGTCCTTCTTCTTATCACCGCCTGGATGGCGCCCTTGGTACTGGACCTTATTCCTACGTTTTTTCTGTCCAACGAAAATATTTCTCGTCTTCTAAGCATGGTAATTTTTCAGATAACACCTTGCTTTTTGTTAGTGATTGCAACTAGGAAAATGATCAAAATAGCGAAAAACCATTCGAGGCGCACGTCAGTGCTGTTGAAACAGTTAAGGTTCAACCATCGGAAGGAGCCAATCAGGAGAAGCAAGCCAGAGGCATCTTCTGCTCGCTTGATCACTGTGGTGGTGGGAATTTTTTTAATCTGTTACATATGTCAGTCTTTATCTTCACTGTGTGCCTGTTTTCGATCTTGTAAAGAATCACAACCCCAAAATCTTGTTCAATATACCTTAGCATTGCTTCTGATCATAAATTCTGGTGCCAACCCTTTCGTCTATGCACTTTTTAAAAGAGATATGAAAAAGGAACTTTTTCAAATCTATCTCTGTAAATTACGAAAAGGGAGATGAAAAATCAAGTCGGAAACTACGCTAAGATCAGAGCTAGTAAGAGCGAAAGACGCTATTGATCCGGCTAAACAAGACGGTTTAGTTAACAGGATTCCCTGCAAATGCGGCAAAGTTTAAATCGGTGAGACTGGAAGACCAATGCAATACAGAATAAAGGAGCACGACCGACACAACCGACTAGCCCGTACCCAGACCTCCGCCGTTTCAGAGCACGCCCACAACACCGGATACCAACCGCTCTGAAGTAAGGTTAAGTTTATTGATCGTGGAAGGGCTAGAGAGGCTATTCACATAAGACTTCACCCTAGTGACATCAACAGGAACAGTGATATAGAAATTCCTGAAGCGTGGATGCCCACCTTCGAAAAACGAAGACGTAAGACAGCGGACCGTCGAGGGAATAACTCACTAACATCGAGGATCGAAACTCGCTAATCACAACTGTAGAAAAAACCAACCAACCACAGCGGAGAATCCTGCTTTATAAGAAGACCCGAAACCAGGAGCCTAATTACCTGACGTAGACTAGCAGTATGCAGTCGAAACGTCCCGATTCACAACACAAGTACCCACGAGTACCCACAAGTACCCACATCGCGAGACAAACGATAATACTCTATTATTTATTATTATTATTATTATTGAGATGAAAATTTTTACCCTGAAGCTCTTCCAGACATTTCTGGTATGTAAATAACTTCTTTTATGAGCCAAAATGTCTTTGCATGTTAATAAAGGCCAGTTTAGAACCAGAATAGGCCAAATTGATGTACAGCATAGCTTCATAAACTCCACAAGCAAACAATTGTGTTACAGTAACACCTGCCTGACAGAATAAAAAGAGAATCTACATGATTACATAGCGCAAATGTGTGTAGCTAAAATTAGTATTCCTCACTCTTAATGGGTTTTTCATTCATATTTAAAACATTGGACAGAATCAATCGATTTTTTTTAGCATAATGTTATAAAATACGGCTTGTGTCAACAACCCGCACGTAATTGTGTTCCGTTAGTTATGGCCCAAAATGAAGCCATTACAGAAAAAGTGTGTTGAGATGCCATCTTTATATCACCTCAAGGCAACTTTTGTCAAATTCGGGATCCATGTTTACAATTTATTGCCGCTATATATTTAACTGAGCTCCGGTCTAGCTGTTTTAATTGAGCTTAGTTCTTGAATAATAAGCATTTTACAACCCTGTGCGTCTACGACGTAAATGAAAAAAGGAAACAATTGAAAACCGACTGTTTATCTTCAAGATCTCAATAGTTTGTTTTTTATACTGGCTAGCTAGCAGTTTAATGGCTGGCGGTAGAGCATAATACAAAGATAACCAGCTTAATTTTTGGGAAGAATTACCGCTTAAATTTCGTATTCAAAATGCGGAGAATGTTGGGAGGCAGATAGAAATAGCACAGATAATGAGGGAGATGAATCTAAAAAAAAGTTTAATAAAGGGGAAATCAAGGTTTCTGTTAGAAGATAAGCTTATCCTTCTATTGGTAAACTATTAATGTAAAGCAATTTTTAAAAAAAATCCTGCTGTATTTTTAATTGCTATTTTCCTTTCTCTGTAATGTCAATGCTTTTTAGTTTTGTTATTAATTATTACTTATCTAAATGAAAACCTCTTTATTCTGATTGGTTGTAAGCAATGTAGTTATTAACTGACCAAAATACATACGAAAGTTAATAGAGGGTAGAAAAGACTGAATTCAGTACAAATTCAGTTTCTCTTGAATTCCAGGAGAAACTAGCGACAGAGCGCACCACCCCAATCGAAAGGCACCAAGGGTTCTCAACCTGTGTTTTTTTAGCCGTCTTTACTCTCTGCTCTCTGATGCAGAAAATTCACTTTCCTTTTTTCTTTTCCCTTTAACCATCCTCACTCTGATTGGCTGATTGACTCTGATTTACTCTTACTCTGAGTAACTCTGGTCGACTCTCTTCAGTTATTCACTCGGTTGACTGACTCCCTCTCTCTCTTTGATTCTCACTAATTACTAACTCAAAAGCTCATGCTTTTATACACACTATCGGTAGGCAGAAATGTGAATGTAGCCAAAGCAACCTCGGAAAATTAAACATTTGTTATCAGAATAATAGCCCAAACACTGTCACAAGAAAGTGGCACATGAACAACAACTAATCAAACGATCAATTTTTAACTGAATGCGATCCAAGGAGAAGTCAGCAGACTAACTAAGCACGTCAACTAATAAAATTCAGACCCGACAGGCTCAATCAGTCATTCGTCACGATAGCTGAAATCCAAATTAATTTGGATTTTGTATTCAAATCTTCGCCAAAAGCTATATAAACAAACCGCTGAAATCTGATTCATTAATTACAAACTTTACATCAACATGTTCAGCGGAGCTTTGAGATTTTTACGGCTTATAAATTTCTGAAAAAAAACACCATTTAGGAAATTGTACGTTTGACCACAAAATTGTCTCGTCTTGTCTTGTTTTAAGATGCCATTTGCAGGTTTAAATAATTTTTTTGCATGTTATTTGCGCAAATTGCTTGCTTTTAAGTTATAAACAAGTAACGAAATGATATTTTCTATGCAATCTAGAATTACTTAGCAATCGTACTTTTTTTAAAGACTACTTGTCCTGAGGGGTCGTGCATTTTTCCTTTAAAAAAATGACGTGTATTCCTTTTTTTCCAAATTCCCCCCAAAATCATTGGATTACCGGGCTGCAAAAAGTAAAAGAAACGAACTGAAACTCGTTTTATTTTAAAAATGTTGAAGTCTTCTTGAAAACCCTAATTCTAAGGGAACCATTACTATCAGTTATCGATACATCCAACAAGATACAATATAATTCTACAACAAAAGTGTCCATAGCAATCGCACTTATCAACCTGTTGTTAAGTGAATCGACTTCCTTGCGGATCTAACAATGAGAGGGTAGGTTTCGCAGATTTAAAATCAAGAAACTAACATAAATGAACTGACTTAATTGTGCTTTTCTGTCTTCGTTTGAATAAATATGCCACTAACACTTTAGGGTTGCTGTCGCTCGCTAAATGATTGTTTTTTTTTGTTTTGTTTTGTTTTTACTTGGTCATCGAAATGCAACATAACTCTGTTTAAATTTACAGGGAACCTACGGGTCCAAAGCTCGCAAAAGCCCCACACGCTTTTGTAGTCCATCGATCGTTTTTTGATCGGCACTGTGAAATGTATTTTCTTGTGCATGCGAACGCAAAGGCAGGTAATTCAATTTGTCAATCATCGTTAGTTTTGTGTTTAATTGCTTGCGCGCACTTACCATTGGACCAAATCATTAAAAATTTAACAATTGGTTCATACGTCAGCGTGCGTTCATCGAGATATGAAGCACGCGGGAAGTTTGGAGAGCACGAAAGATGCGTAAGAGTTGCTCGAGGCGTAGCCGAGAGCAACTCTAGCTTCTTGAGTGCTCTCCAAACTTCCCAAGTGCTTCATATCTCGATGAACGCACAGCTGATGTATGAACCAATTGTTTTATAACATTTTCAACCCGATGGAAAATTTTTTTTCGCGAGGGATTTGTTTGCTGACGTCATGAGCGTGCACAATAGGAATATGAAGCACGCTCGCGCAATTGAATTTGATTAGACAAATTTACTAGCTATGTTATTATACTTTTTCATTTTCTGCTTTTTCTTAACCTTAACGATTTCGTCAAAAGCGACGCTTGTACCTAGTAGTTTCCGAAAGAAACCCCTGAAGATCAACAGGAACCTTAACTTTATTTTGAAATTGTAAAGTTAATAGCAAATAAGTTATGGCATATTCTACTGCGATCACCTTTGTAGTTGCGTAAACGTTTGTCACGACATCGAAGATTTCAGGTGTACGCGGCAGTTCATAATTACATGGTTTAAGAAAAACTTTATGCATTGCAAAATGTAAGTCGTCTGGTTCAACACTGCATAATGACACTCCTTTCAAATGTTAATTTGGTTCAATGAATGGTGAGAACCCCAAGGCATATCCACTGTTGCTATTGGTTTCACCGTTTTATCCATCTAACGGGTAATCTTTTTTACCCAAAATCAGTTGCTTAGTACTAAAATTCTCACTAACAGTCATCGTGAACCTTCTTTGAATTCAGGTTTATCCAGACGCGTACAGTACTGCTACAAAAGTAATGTAAACGATAGGCGTCCACTATCGCGTTAATCGCCATTTAACGACGATATTTGAATAATACTTTAGTTGGAACAATGTATCGGCATATATCGCAGAACGGTTGTTCTAACAGCCCCAATCTATTGAAATCATTTAACTCGTCAAGAAATTAAAATGTGACAGGTAACCTTTTGTGATGAAAGTTCAGTCTTAAAAATTCTCCACGGCAGTTGATCTATCTTCATCATTATGAATTTGACGATCTACGCCATAAATAAAGGAGTAAGTTTCTAAAGAAACTGCGGTGTTGCGTCGGTGGGAGAGTATAGCAGGTAATTTAGTGTTAACAACAGGTTTGAAAACGTAATTAGCCACCGTAAAGGGTAAAAAAGCTGGCGTTTCGAGCGTTAGCTGCTGAAGGGCTAGGTATGTATGTGTAGGTTATCAAATTCATGATGAAGATGGATAAACTGCCGTGGAGAATTTTTAAGGCTGCATAAATATATAATTATCTTTATATATAAATATAAATAAATATCTTTATAAATATAAATATCTTCCGTACCCGCTGACGCAGCGTGGTAGTTTCTTTAGGAACTAATCAGCTGCCGCCTTTTTAAAAGCTACCTTGGTCAGGGCAAAAAGTCTTTAAAAAAGAAAAGAAAGACACATGTTACATAATATTCATACATTCAACTCTTTAAGTATACAATTTTCGTTTTCACAATCAGTAACACGCAATTGCTGATCGCAAGAAAGCCACCCTTCGATATTTTTAATCCATCTGCAGTCAAATTATTTACACACATAATTACCAAGCAAACATCTATGTTTGACTAGTAGTACAGCATGGCCGACGAATTATGTCTAACACTCCCTACATCAAAGTGGAACATTGTGTTAACCACGACTCTCGGCCTGTTGATCTCCATTATCGCGTCTACAACAAACGTATTAATACTCACAGCTATCTATAAGAATCCATCACTTCATACAATCACATATTATTGCCTAGCTTCCTTAGCAGTTGGTGATTTATTTGTCGGAATCGTTGCTCTTCCACTTTGGATTACAAGATCTTTGTTATCAATCGCCGACGAGGAACACCCCCTTAGTGTAGCTGTAGACTGCGTTTATGTTCTGTCTGTTGGTACATCAACATATAACTTGTGTACAGTTAGCTTAGAGAGATACGTCGGAGTTGTTTTGCCTTTGCGGTACAACGTCATCGCAACCAGAAGACGACTTCAGTATGCAGTAACGACCGTATGGGTTCTTTCAAGCAGTATCGCCTGCCTTCGTTTGGTTATTGATGAAAATTCTTACTGGTTGGTGGCCATATCTACATTATTTTTTTTCCCGGGAATAACCATTTCTTACTGTTACGTTTGCATTTTCAAAGAAGCGTCCCGACAGTCAAGAGCTATTGCTCAGCAGAGGGGGTTCCCTTCACCAGTGAATCAAATCCACAACAGAAAGGCGTCCTTGACCATTGCGATAGTTATCAGTGTGTTTTATTTGACAGCCTTACCAGCTTTGGCCTTTTCCATAGCTGAGCTGGTCTCACAAAAGCAAATGTCTTGTGAACAGAAAAAATCATTCGAGTCTTGGGGAACTTGGGCGCTCTTTTCTGCCTTCTCGAATGCAGCCATTAATCCGTGGGTTTATGCTGCCCGGAAAAGTGAATTTAAAGATGCTTTAAAGGTGTTGAAGATTTGGAACTACATGTGTTAGGCATAAGTTATTATGGTCAGTTTGTGTAAGTTATTTTTTAATCATGAAGATGGAAAGCAAATAAAAAAGTTTTGGACTTTTCAATTTCGTGGAAGACCACAAAAACAGCCCCGTGAGGATAAAGAAAAATTGAAATACAGTGAGGCTATGTTCCACGAAAATGGAAACTTCGCACGGAAGCAGAATTTTGTTTTAATTTTTTGTTGGAATAAACAACTCACGTAGATTTCAACAAAAGTACTGATGTATATTTTTCGGTGTCAATTGTTTTCATCGAGAATTAGTTATTCCTCCTTGAACAGCAAACGTTGATATGCAAATAACACAAACAATTCAATCCGAAAAAATAAATAGCTTAAATTGTCGGATCTTGGCTTATCAATAAAACTTAGGCATTCTGGAGTTCTAAAAGCTTCACCTATTACATTTAGTAAAGCACTGAAATATGTAATCGCTTTGAAATAAAAAAGAAAGCTGTGAAGACTTCACTGAAACTGGCTGAGTCAGAAGATCTCAGAAGTAAAATTTGCATTTAAGCTGAAAGAGAAAAAATATCTAAAACAGCTGCGGTGACATAAATATTCAATTTAATCTCCTTCCTTTGTCCAAACGATCTCACCTACAGTTTGAAAATTGGGTCCTTTAAAAAGGAAAGGGCTTTTCCAAGGGTCGTTGATCGATATTTAATTGACTGCAATTTCTTTTAAGTCAAATGTGCCCCACGTTTTTAGAGAAAATATAAAACTACTGTTATAAAAGGCCTATAGCATTGTTCCGACGTTCTTGGCCTGCAGAAATGGTACGTGTTTTCTTTTGTGAAATCAGCTTCATGGCGCAGGCTGACTGAGGATAAAAGCCTTAGTAAACTTTGTTGATCGTTTGGTAAGCAAACACAAAAAAAATATTGGATCCATGCTGATAGACATACGGTCTTTAAAAATTGCTAGAGCTCGTTTCCATAGCAAAACAGACCTTCAGTTTCATAGGCCAAGTGGTATGCGGTAACATACAGAATTTCTTTAAGAGTTCCAATTCTTCCCTTGAGAAGTTAGCTGAAATCATATCCATCGATATCGGTATCGTTTTCTGCATCTTAAGTCAACTGCTTGTGATTTTGGAAAATTTGCCTTCCATTGTTTTAATAGATTCTGCTCCTTGCAATACTTTTTCTTCAAAATGAACTTTTGACTTTTCGCTGGCACAGTTGCATTTCTGCCAGTGATGAAAATTTTCTTCATTAATGATTAATCCTTTACACTAAACTGATTGAAGTCTAACTAAAAACAAAATGAACGTTTTTGACAAATAATGATAATGTCTGGTGGGCCCATAACGTTACTTTGAAAGTGAACATAAGATTGGTTAGAATAGCACCAGCATTTCTCTGGCTTCTCTTTTAAGATATGTGAGCTTTTATAAACTAAGCACCGTTTTGGCTATTTTTTGATGCATCGTATTTAAATGTTTTGAAATTTCCTTACCTGCCGTTCAGTAATTAGTTCGAACTGTGTTTAATACTTGAAATATAAATTATAATGTGGAACTTTCATAAAACGGGCAAAATCTTATTTTAAGATGTTCATGAGAGGGAATAAAATAAATTTAGCGTTGATATCCTTTAAATGATAATTCACGCTGCAAAAGCTATTGATAACATATATCTATCTATGAGTCCAAAACAAGTCCTTTGAATCAGACTCGTTTTCATGGGTATGTATAGCCACATGGGCCGTTATTGACAGCCGGAACTCAATATCTTTAATCTTTAGTGAAGTTTGCGTTGGATGTCAAACGTGGCAGAATAAAATTAACGGCATACTTTGGCCATCGTCGTCAACAGAAGAAAGGAATGGCCAACCAAGCGTGCCAGGCCTTACCAACAGAGGGATGGAACATTGTATTGACGACTTTTCTGGGTCTTTTTATCTCCTTTATCGCTTCTACAACAAACGCATTAACAATCCTTGCAATCTTCAAGAAAAGAGCACTCCATTTTGTCACATATTATTTCATTGCTTCTCTAGCAGTTGGTGATTTCCTTGTCGGAATTGTCGCCCTTCCACTTTGGATGGCACGTTCTCTTCTAAAAGTCGCCGACGAGGAGGACCCATTAAGTTTTGCTGTGCGCTGCTTTTACTTTTTTTTCGTCGGGATTTCGACGTATAATTTGTGCACTCTCAGCTTAGAAAGATATGTTGGTGTTATCTTGCCTTTACGCTATAACGAAATAGTAACCGTTCGACGTTTTCAGTACGCGGTAGCGTCGGTGTGGGTTCTGTCAGGCATCACCGCTTGCCTTTGTTTCGCCATTCATGAGGATACCTACTGGTTTGTGGCCGTTTTTGCAGTGTTCTTTATGCCGGGAATTGTTATTTCGTACTGCTATGTCTGTATATTTAAGGAAACATATCGTCACCCGAAAGCCAATGAACAGCTGCAAGCCGGTTCGGGATCAACAAACCAAACGCACAACAGAAAGGCGTCTTTAACGATTGCAGTTGTTATTGGCGTATTCTACATGACAACCTTGCCTGCTCTGGCTTTTTCCATCCATGAGGTTGTTTCAGGGAAGAATGCTCCGTGCCAAACGAAGAAAACACTCGAATCCTGGGGAACATGGGCGCTGTTTCTCGCCTACTCCAATGCAGCTATCAATCCATGGATATATGCTGTTAGAAAACGAGAATTTAGAGATGCTTTAAAAATCTTGATGTTCTGGAAACACTAGGCAGGACTTGGACGATGTCTTTGCTAATCACATGAAGGAAACAGAGAGGGAAGAAGAAGATGCCTCGATCTATGACTGAAACAGCAGCTGGTTTAGATATCTTCAATTTTTTTAATAAGTTAGCAAGCTCAGAAACAAAGCCGGATGTTAATTATTTCTTCGCGAAAGGAGCAAAAATCAAGCCTTAGCGTGGTCCACAGAAACTTTTGTGTTGTTTTAAACAACCCTTATCTCTTTATCTGGAAAGAAAAAGTTCAGTTGCCTGCATACGTTATGGTTCATTATTTACTTTGAAGCAGACCAATTATCTAAATGCCGGAAAGACCACATTACTAATGGCTTTGAATAAAGTGACATTAGATTGGAAGGCTGACGACGTTCTAAGATATGAAATGGACAGGTCAGAGCAAAAAATAGAAAACTGAGAATAATAATTATTAACTTACTAGTAGAGTTTGACAGCTCTGTCTCAGAACGGTTCGACTCAGTCGGGTAGCTTTAACCCTTTTACTCGCCTGAGTGACCATATTTATACATTAACGAGCAGAAAAGTGACCAGAAAAAAGAAAAATGTCAGTAAGGGGATGATTGGTTGATCCAAAACCAAATCCTCTGAGATAACATCATTGTAATTGTATGACAGAAAGAAAGGAGAATTACTACTGAGATCTAGGGAGTGAAATTTAACTCCATCTGGCGTTGTTTCAGCTGGCCTGACTCTGGACTAGATGATGATAAGTGAAAACAATAAAGGAAAAGACAGAAAAATCATCGAAGAAGATTTTCGCTTATTTGCCAGTAGCGTTTTATCATATAAAATGTCTTGAGAATCTTTACGCTCGTTCTCTTGCTAAGAATTTTCAACAAATCTTCGTTCTGCTAGGATTTCATAGGCCTGATGCAAGAATGTTGTAGCCTTGAGCCATAAAGCTAAACATAGTAAAGCCAATTTAAATGACAAAATCTGCTTAATTAATGTGTTGAGTACATACTTGTGTAAACTGACTCTGTTTCTTCAGTCAATACTTCTTTTAACTTCTCGATAAAAAGAAGCGTTACGGGTTCATTTTGACTAATTTAAAATTCGTTTTTAGGCAGCATGCGTAAATATCAGAGATGAAAATTGTAAGAAATATGCTTGGAACTCATGAACGAAAACGAACACAAGTACTCGAGCTGTAGAATAAAGATATCTCAAACACACACGAAAAAACCTTCACATTCGATAGACTGAAATAAATCGAGAAATAAGCATCCACTGTTAAGAGTTATTACATGTTACACAGTAGCGAGAGGCACTCCTTTGGTAAGGTTACAAGCCCCGGGAAGGGTAACTGACTCGGTCGCGTTTTAGTCACCCAAAACCCTAACCCGCAATGAAATTAATCATACGGTAACCCAAGATAACTTGGTTAAGCTGTTAATGAAATTCATCTGGCAACTGTATTGTTTACTTAGTCGAAGTCCTCACTTAAGAAATAAAAATATAACCTCTCTATTTAACAATTGGTTATACATAACAAATGAGCGGTTAATCCCCACAAAATCCTGATTAGGGAAACCACTGATGTTTTAAATTTAAGCTGAACCGATCACGTATCAAATTAAAGTCTGTCACAAAATTTCGTCATAACCCTTCCCTTTTTGTAATGAAAATAGTCAACCCGATAATGCAATACCTAAAAAAAGATTGAAAAATTACTTTCTTCCCTTTCCTCTCACAATTGTAAATTTAAGTCTTTGTCAGGCTGAATGATTAGTTACCAGCCACTTTACAAACACTTAGACCTGAGTGCGGATGAGATTAAAACTAGGTCAACGATATTTTTAGTGACGATATTCATAGTAACTTCTAATGTGGCTGCCGTGCATCGTTTTATGAGCAGCCGGATTTAAATTATGAACCAATATTTGTAGACCTCTGTAAGCACACAATTAAGGCTTGAGGGATAATCTTCTCATAGAGAAGAGCGCTTTTACCTTATACGGTCATATGTGAATAAGACCGCAAGACTTATTGTTAGAGTTATCGCATTGTTCCTTCTTCTGTTTCATCAGTTTATGAAAATTTTCCTCTAGCGACAAATTGATTTGATTTGAATGAATCATTCATATGGGAAGTGCCAAGTGATGACACATTCAGAATTGCTTGATAGGGGGTCCTTCAGCAAATTATGTGATTATGTCAACTTCCTTGCACCAGCGCCTGATCTTCGTTTCATATCGATTATAATCTTAAAGCAGCACCATTTGTGTACATTCAGAAATGAATTGGTACTGGATTCTTGGCTGGATTCCTTCAGTATTTGCTATTTTTGGAAATGGAGCGGTGATTTATCTGATTTGCACGAGGCCCAGACTCAGAAACGTCCCAAACCGCTTCGTACTGTCTCTAGCCTTTGCGGATTTCGGTGTAGGTGCTTGTTGTTTTCCAGTGCAATTCATATGCAGTTTAACTGCATCAAACTGCAGAAATCAAATCGCCGATGATATTGCCGTGCTGATGATTTACTCTTCGAATATTAATCTATGCGCGATGACTATTGACCGCTACTTGGCCATTGTACGGCCTCTCACCTACATGTCATTGATGACAACAAGGCGGGCTCGATATCTGATCGCCTTCTCGTGGTGTGCGCCGTTGTTGTCTTATTTTATCCCTGCACTCTGCACCAGTCTCTATGGTTGTACTATAAACGTCAACATCACTGTCGTCGTGTGGACCTCCATGTTCGAGTTCATTCCATGTGTTTTACTTCTGACTGTAACCTCAAAAATAATAGTAACTGCAAAGAGGCACTGTCGACAACTTGCGAAGATGAATAATCAATTGCAACATAACCAGCCGAATCATAAAGGTCAAAAGGGGGTTTCATCGGCGCGTGTAATTGCAACAGTTGTGGCTATTTTTATTGCATGCTACGCGCTTGAAGTGTACAGCTCTTTATGTCATTTTACCAAGTTCTGCGAGTTAACAAAGGATCTGCGCAGAGCTGTGTTTTTTCTGGTTGTAACAAACTCGGCAGCAAACCCGATCGCCTATGCCTTGTACAAATGTGACATAAAAAGAGAGCTCAGGAAAACATTCTGCAAGTGGAGACCAACTACAGCAGTCAGGCGATCCCCAAGTCTTTCAACAAAGGCATGAACATTTGAAAGGGGTAGGCGAAATTAGCATTTCATTCCCTTGTGCTCCAATCGTTGTCAACAAACGTCGTTTAGCAGGAAATATGTATGTACTTGTACAATTAGAATCAAATTAATAAGATTTAGGGGCAAAGTCGTTTGCATGTTATCGGATATTTGGATTATCTCCCCACATTACTCAAGGACTGAGTGAAGTTGATTTATAGTTAATTTTACTGCGTTTAGGTTCTCCTTTCCCCTTAATCATGTTTATTTTTTTCTCAAAGCTCCTTGAGCAAACAATGTGAAAAGTAAGCCTCATTAAAAGATCATTTCAAATAAACCGTTTTGATCATACTTGACCCACGTGAAGTTGTTAGGAAAACATTCTGGAGGAGCGATTTGATTCGATTATAAATGGACTAAAATAACACTTATCGGCAACGTAAAATTTGATGCTCTGCATTTTTGGGGAATGGCGCGAGAATCCTGATGTGATTACAAGTCACGTTGCCTCAATCTTTTCGACATCAGCAAAATGGAAGAGGGATTTCTGATGTCTCTTGGTAGGCTAACATTATGACGTTATGATTATGTATGTAATGAACATTTTTACAATCGGATATTTGGAGTCCAAGTATTTTTCCCACGGGAGGATCCTGGTTTCGGCCTGTTTTCCTTTGTAAAGAAGGATATGCTATCAAAAGCACAACTTCACATTATGAAAATAACACGCCCTTGAATTTCCGTCTATCCTTCGTTTTAATTTCATTTTAGCCGAGTCACTCGTTTTCTTGCGTCATTCTGATGGGTTACTCCCTTTCTCAAAAGGGGATGCGAAAAGGTATGGTTTGATCCTTTTACACGGTTACGGTAGTGGGATATCACATATTAAATCACTGGGTGCGAACGTGGTGTAAGCATTTCCAAAGTTTCCTACACAACTTTGCTGACTTTGAATAAAGGAGGTAAGTTTCTAAAGAAACTGTGGTTCTGCGTCGGTGGGAGAGTATAGAAGGTAATTTAGTGTTAACAACTGAGTTGAAAACGTAAATTGGCCATCGTAAAGGATAAAAAAGCTGACGTTTCGAGCGTAAGCCCTTCATCAGGGCGATTGAAATTTTGCTGACTGAGCAAACGTTTACCAACATGTCAAAGACAGACACTAATAATGATGTGACAACAACAACTGTTGAAAAGGCAACAGTTGAACAATTTAAGTAATCCTAACTCGCAATCATATCTACACATTTTGAGTATACATAAGTGAAATACCTATCTTAGAATCTGGGGCAAAACTAACATAATTAAGCTACACGCTTTTAGGTTTTTGATTTTTAAACTCACCAGCCGGCGTGGAAGCATCTTCAACTCAAAAGTGAATGTTTTTCCCTGATTCTCCCAGTTCCCTTTGAGCCCTCATGTCAACATGCACAATTAATCCTTGGCTGCCTTCAAATTAAAATAAAAAAAGAAGAAGAAACCACAATAAGTTGTTCCGCCCGGCAAAAAGTGCAAATATCTCTGGCTGGTCCTCGATGTGATAGATCTATCGCATGGCTATGCTTCAAAGCGTGCTTTGCATGCAGATTTAGATATGTTAATCGAAACAACAAAGGTTGTGAATCAAAACCGAATGAAGATGTACAATTGTGTTACATTTTTGTACATTGCTGAAATCTCACTGCAAATTTTAGCGACTGCGGCAAATAGAAATAGGATGCAACAAACAAAAGGTTTCTTTGAGCCGAATAATGATTTTGAGCCTTTTTTTTTATTTAACCACGTGAAATATAAAATCTTTATTTTCAAGTATGATTCAAGCCTACAAAGCCAAAACAAACATAATGACGACCAAGTTTGAATTGAAAATTGAAGAGTAGAGGATTTGGTGAAGAGCGACTGCACTCAAAATGAGCACCATATCGTACTTTGGGTCAGGTAAAATCGGCCATAACGTTTATTCGTGCAATGGTGGTCTCACATTCTCAATTCAGTATAAGGCTTAAATAGCTTTTGTACTTTCATTAAGGCTCCACTTGAAAAAAGGCTTTTATGGGCCCGTTTAATTTGTCAAAGGTCCTGGTTTCTTGACAAAATTTGTCCGAGACTTTTGAGAAACGGGGTCCTGCTTGGCAACGTTAGCTCGTAAGTTCCTGATTTCACTCGTTGACATGACATTACTGATCCCCAATTATGTAGCTAGCGGGTGATTCCCGGCGAATTAACTAAACCGATGAAACCAGTGCACCAGTCATTATAAGATACCTTAACGAGCGAAGATGAATTCCAAACGATCTTTACGTTGAGAAATGACCGTCACATTTCGTTCTTCCACTCATTAGCCAATAGCCCACTAGACACCAGCTATCCCCCCCCCTTTCTGCATCTCATCCACCACCGCCTCCTGAACCTGAGACCATCGGCCGTTTGATTTTTTTATCGCTTCCAGTCTGCCGGGTTAAAAAGAATGGAGAGAAAAGATACGTGTTATTCCCTTCTCTGAATCTTTTAGACGAAATTCTTATCAGGATCATGGGTTAAGCTTCCCCCTTATTTACAAAAATTTGCCAAAAGTATCTGCCGCTGCGAGCAGGATTCGAACCTGCGCGGGGATACCCCATTGGATTTCAAGTCCAACGCCTTAACCACTCGGCCATCGCAGCTCCTTAGTACTAATATTGCCAGGAAAAGTATAGATAATTACGCTTTATGAATAATACCAAAATGGCTAATAATTACAGAGTTTATTTTTTCACCTTCTCGAGCATAGGAAATTGACATGCAAAGAAATACATACATTTCAACAAAACAATGTTGCTTCTGTAACCTTCCAAAACCTAATAGTTGCATGAAATATTCAAATTTAGGTTCAGAAAGCCTACAATCAGTTCTTTTTCCTATTGAAATTTCAGTGTTCGTTTATGTAAATTAGAGAGAATCTTCCTTGTCTAACAACCGTTACCATGTTATGAAGTATGCCACCATTGGTAAGTCTTGGTAGAACTAATTTAAAGCAAATCGGCTTTGAGCAGAGAAACTGAGCGATAAGATTCAGTAAACCCTAGTACGATAGTTGCAAGAATTTTATCTGAAACTTGTTCGGTTCACTTTTGCCAGCTCAAAGTTAAAATCTCTAGTAAGTTTCAATATTCAAATAATTGGTTCTTTTTTCAATTAGTCGTCCTGCAGCTACGCTTTATGTCACTCTCTTAAAATAAAATAATCACTGAGAGGGATTGGAGAAAAACATTTCTTTTGGTCAAATCGTGTTTGTTTCATAAACTAATGAGAACAATAAGAAAAATTTTAACTTTAAACTTTGAACAACAGTTTGGTAATATATGGTTCAGTTAATAAGTATTTCATATGCAAAACTCCAACAAAGGTAAACGTATTTATCCATCTATTTTTCAACCAATTAAAAAGTCTCACGCTGCGAGCAGGATTCAAACATGCGCGGGGAAATCCCAAATGGCTTTCATATCCAACGCCTTAACCATCGCGACGCTTCATAAACTAAAAGTTAAGAGGGCTTTACATTCACCTTGGACAAGGATGTTACATATGTATAATTTGAAACATTTTGTATCAGTGCTACAAATGGTGCGCGCTTTGGCGCCTTTTCCGCTTACATTAATCAAATCACACCACTTTACAAGGATGTACCCATGTGAGAATCTACTTGAGAAACTTGACGAGACCAACCCCACCCCACTGCGCTCGCTCTCATTTAGCCCTAGAGATCCCCACTCAAACATTTTACTTTGGAGGCCATGAATTATGGCTAATCTGTTCCGTATACATGTGGTTAAGATTCTAGAGTATTATGCCCTGGTAAGACCTTGTAGACCTTTTCATGAAATTCTAGGAACATTAGTTTTAAATATTTGATGAGATTCGTTACCTAATTTTAACATGAACATCTCTGATATTGCATCTGATAATGTAAGTACGACATACTATCATATTTTCTGTTTTGGCACAAATTCTTGTCAGATTAGTTACGGTTGCTACGTACGGTTTCGTAAGAACGCCACTCAAGACATGTAATAAAACAAATGAATAAAAAGTGAGGTAGTAAATGAAAAATCTCATGCAATCTTCTTTTATAGTGCTTCAAATAAGCTTTGTCCTTAAGTCGTGGTGCTGAGTAAACGGTGATAAATGACCTCTCCATCAAGTCCTTTGTGACACGGTAGTGTGAGTGTGGTACGAAGAAACTCAGCGAATGCTGATCACTTTCCCGTTTGTTGGTCGTCAACAGAGCAACTGAATTTAACGAATTAAGAGTGAATTTCAGTATCATGGGGAGCTTTTCCAACATGTGGATAAAATATATATTCCCAAATGGTACATGTAAAGTGCGTTAGTACTCTTTAAGCATTTTCTTTTCGAAGGCTTTTCTTGTTATATGGACTTATCTTTGAATCTATGAACTGTTTGAATATTTATGTTTCCAACATTGAAAAACGTTGCTAAGACTTCTTAAAAGCTCATTCGACCTATACATTTAATCACAGCTGCGATGGCCGAGTGGTTAAGGCGTTGGACTCGAAATCCAATGGGGTCTCCCCGCGCAGGTTCGAATCCTGCTCGCAGCGTGCACTACATACCGTTTTGCCTTAATTGGTAACAAAGAAAACGAAGATTACTGCTTTCGTGCCACAGAGCAAATACTTTTCGGGTTGCTTCCAATTCACCTCCCCCATAACCTCGTTTTATACTGAATCTGAAGCTATTTCAGTAAAATTGATTTTTGTTACTGCTGGCCTGTCAAGACAAAATGCAACTCTTTAGTCGCTTCAGATTATTCCTCCTCATTTTATAAATCAGCACTTGCAATCTCGTCAAGACACTAGCTAATTTTGCATCTTCGTTTGTGATTATATTTTTTTAAGTAGAACGTAGACTTTGCATAATTATAAGAAGAACTGGTGAGCATGTAAGAATAATTTTACCAACTACCTTACATAACTAATTAAAGATGGATATAGAACGAAAACAAATCGTGCTTTATGTACAAAAATTTATATAAACTCCGAATAACTTGCTTAGCTAAAGCAAAGGAAGAGTTCACTGATAAAATCATCAACATAAAAAGCAACTATCTAGAATTCAATATTTCAAATACTTGTGAACGATAAATGGTCTAAAGGTCAATATTTACGAAGAGAATAATAAAAAAGGAAAATATAAAGGTTGGTTGTAAGCGAAAGTTTCTTCACCAGAGGCGGCCCGTTCGATTGGAATTTTGGGCCTCTGGAGGTCTCCTTGTTAGGTCTTTGTGTAGACTTAATGTTCATGCAAGATGACTAAAATAGTGATAACGATGATGATGATGATGATGATGAAGTGCTGAGGTGAAAGAAACAGAGACATGTCCAAGCTTGATCCTCACTCGGGCACCTATGATTTTATGACTTTTGATGATTAATGACTATAGCAGCTTAACTTTACATTATAAATAAAGCCATCTTGTAAGTTATTATCCAAATACAGTACTTATTGACTAATACCCTCGTGCTACGTTTACTCTAAGAGCAGTCCAGCAAATGAAATCGGGTCACTGATTAGCCTATCAGATTTGAGAATTGTACGGTAGCATCAATGAATGTGATTCTGGCTTTGAAAGCAATTTTTCAGCCTCGACCAACCAGTAAATTTAAAACATTTATTGGCTTCACCCCATGAAGCAGTCCCGATCCCAATTAAGAATGTCTTATGCTTTAGAATCTACAAATGTTTCGCCTTTTTCTAGAATTCTAAAATCGAAATGGGATTTTCCCTCTCGGTGACAAAGGGTCCTCACTGGAAGGTAAAATAACTATATATATTATAAGAGCAAAAAATTTCAAATGTCTTGGTAAATCAAGCTGCTAGTGAATATTTCATGCCAAATGCGTTGAAGTACAATTTACCACCAGTGATTTTTACCCCACAAATTATCATGATAATTAGGATGCATAGTGAGCTGGATAATCGAATGCATTTTTTTAATTCAATAATTCACTACAAAGCATCAGCATGTGTTCAAATACACGCCTTAATATCATTTACAACTGAACATAAGCCAATAACCTTAAATAAAGTGATTCAGGAATCGTTACCTTAATTCCTAAACTAGAAAACGCAACCTTGAGCTCTATTACCCATTATCCATCATTCAAAACATCTGTTGTAGGTCATTCGCAACATTTCCTTAGCCATCCTTGGTTAATTTTTCTCGCAAAAAATTAAAGTGCCCACTGCATCTTATTGATTTGTTTAGTACCTTCTCAAAATATTTAGTCACATCAGTTTGTCTTAGCGTAAACATCATTCTTATAAAACAAACCCAAAATTAATTTAATTAGAAACCTGTAAAAGCTATTATGTAGACGATAAGTTTATTTATTTCGCAACCCGCGTAAACAACATTTTTTTCAAAGAAAGCTGTAAAGCTTACACTTTGGTTGTTCTTTTCGGAATTTGAATTTTACTGCAAAAGCTACGTAGTGTCCATTATATCCCGATGGCAGCATGGTACTGGATTTCTGGTTGGATTCTTAGTGTTATGTCCATCGTTGGCAATGGTTTCACAATATGTTTAATCATAACCAGACGCCGATTGTTCACTCTTCCCAACTGGATTATTCTCTCGCTGGCCTTGGCCGATTTCCTTTTTGTCTTGAGCTACTTTCCGGCTTCGTTTTTCTGCAATGTGTTCTTCCATTGCCATCGTGGACACCGCATTATGGTGGCGTCCGTCTTCATGTATGCTTCTGTAACAAATTTGATTGTTCTGACCATCGATCGGTATATCTCCATTGCACTGCCATTACGATACGTTGTTATGGTGACTACTCGACGTGTTTTGGCCGCTATCATTTCAGCCTGGCTTCTTTCGTTATCCCTTGCTCCAATTCAGTATTTGGTAGAGAGGACAGAATCAAAGGATTTACAAAGAACGTTTGAAATAACCCGAATAGCAGTCATGGAAGTAGTACCCACTGTTGTTTTAATTACTACTACTATTCGAATGCTATTGATTAGAAAAAAGCACCGTCAACAAGCCGCCATTCAAGTCGCTCAATTACGCTACAACAAATGGAGGGGGGAACCTGATTGTCACTTCAAACCGTCAAGAACGCGGAGAGAGATGTCAACTGTTCAAATAATATGCGCTGTAGTAACTGTCTTTGTCGTTTGCTATGCCACAAATATTCTTTTGTCTTTTTGTATTGGTCTTCATATCTGCGACCCACCGACTGAGATCCGGGATCTTTTAGGGATCTTGTTGATTGTGAACTCGTTAGTTAACCCTTTTGCTTATGCATTTTTTAAAAAAGACATAAAAAAAGAGTGCGAGGGGATTTTATGTCGAAAACAAATAGCTGACAAAACACGATGAAGTTCTGACGATTCGTTTGTCAATAGAACCGACCACTAATATTAACGAATTTCTTGAAAGGTGTGAGTTTTTTTTTCCCTTTTTAAAGTTTCCTGTCGTAAAGAACAATGGCTGTTTGCTGTATGCATCTAATAAGATATCAACCAAAACTAACTTGTTCACAGTCATGATAATTGGGCTGAGGCCCCCATAAATTCCAGCAGTTATAGACATGAAAATTTCACAGAATTAAACAACACAAGTCTGGACGCTTTAAACCAGTTAAAAAATACTGTGTTATTGCTACCCAATGCATACCAGTTTTAAAGAGATTGCTAAATAGCTACTTTGATGTACAAATTATTCAAAAAGAGAAATTTGAATGGCCTCGTTTAATCCACAACGATAACAACTTGGTTTCTACTAACACCAATATAATGAATTTAAAATGATTCGGTGAAGCCAACGCAACCTGTTAAAATACTAACTACTTGGTGTGTTTCTCCTTAATTACCTCTTCTTTACAGCAGTTGTGTTTATAATTCATAAAAAGCAATAAAAAAGACGTATTTTAATATTTAGGTTTGTCAATAAAAGATGAAGTCTTTATGAGGGGCAACAGGACAAATGTTTTCATCGATAGAGGATTAAAAATATAGATCTGAACTGGTTCTAACATGACATAGACATAGGAATATCTTATAGCAGGCAGCAGCACGAAATAAAAAGAACAAGCGACTTTGCCTGACACCTCAGCCATTGATTATAAAATCGTTATTTACATTTACCATCGACAAACATCTTAATTGCAACGCCTTAAAAATCTACTATTTGATAAACCAGTCAAGATAATGATATTCTGGTGGACTGCTTTTTTCATCGCCATTGAGCTGTAGAAAACGTACACTTACAACTGATATCAATGATCTATGTTTTCCTTTTCCTATTGTTTTCCTTCTAAGTCATGGATATGATTCCAAGTTACGTAACTATCGCATGGCTTTTAACCATCACAGCAATCATTGGAAACGGTCTGGTTATTTATCTCATAATCATCACAAAACAACTTCACACGACAACAAACTGGTTTATTCTGTCGCTTGCTGCGGCCGATTTGTCTTTTGCCGTTTGTTTTTTTCCCGTGGCGTTTTTTTGTGAAACAACTTTCGCCTGCGACAACGTTCTCCGTGGCATAATTGCGTGGCAATTCGCTACCATCGCCATTGCAAATCTCTGTGCAATGGCTACCGACAGATATATCGTCATCGTAACTCCATTCAAATACGTTCGTATTATGAACAAAAGACGAGTTCTCCTGCTCACTGGTTGCGCTTGGGGAGTACCCCCTCTTCTATATCTACCACCAAACTTATACATGCACTTTGTCGGCGCAACTGAGAACATTCACCTATTATTCCAAGTCATATACAGTGTTCTCTTTGAGATATTGCCTTGCGTCTTTCTCTTAAGTGCGACGGGGAAAATTCTGGTCATATCAAGACGTCTTTACCGACAGACTGCAGTAATGCATGCGCAATTGCGTTTTAATCAGATTAATCTCAGGCAGAACAAAGGACAATTTTCCGCCACAATTATTATTATAGTGGTGGGGCTCTTCATCTTGTTTTACACGATGGACTTAGTGGGATCCGCATGTTTCTACTTTGATGTCTGTGAACTAACTGATGAATTTCATCACGTTAGAAAGCTATTGTTGATCGCTAATTCCGCGGTTAATCCTTTCCCGTACGCTTTTATCAAAAGAGACATTAACAAAGAATTTAAGAAAATGTTTAAATTTCGAAAAGAAAGGCCGTAAGAGACATGACTGTACGAAGTCTAAGGACTCATTTCTTCATCGACAGTTCCGAAAACTCAATTTCGCCGCTCGGTAGTTAAGACACAGCGGAAGCCGGCATTAAAACAGAGAAAGTTTGAACTAGTTTGTTTCGTTTTGTTTTCTTCCTAACATATCACCGAAAGACATATTCATTGATGGTTAAAAAGGATAATAACTTTGCACAAATCGGGAAAGCTCTGCGAAATATTGAACAAATAATTCAACATGGATTTCTACTGAGATCAACAGTGGTTACTGTTCGTGATGTCGTTCCTTTTTCAGTTCAGTTGATTTAAATAAAAGCAGGCTTATACCTTTAAAACGTGGAATTCACCAAAATTATTTGCTTATTTAAGTTATGGAATTAGTTAATTAATTAATGTAATAATACGCACTATTTTGGAACAAGTGGTATGAAGCTAAGATTCTTTTCACAATTTCATTTTTAAGTTGTTATACCTTGGCTGCCGGTAAAGTCTGAATTTATCCTTACATTTAAAGCAAGATCACTGGGCGAACTGTCTAATCGGTACGTTCTTAGCAGTTCTCTCCTGAAATCTTTCTTTAATAATCCATACGCCACAGGATTTGCTGCGGAATTGGTTAAAATTAGAACGGAGGAAATTTCATAGACGGATTCAGGTGGTATGTGTTCACCAAAAACGGCAGCAATCCGGACGCAGACACCAAACAGATAACAAATTAAGAACAAAATGACAATAGCAACGATGAGCTTTGGGGAAGAAATATCGTGGGCCGGGAAGGATTGTCTTCTACCTCTTGCCTCAGAATAATTGAAATCTAACTGGGCTATGACTACGCATCGTTCTATGCGACACCTTCGAGCTATCAGCAAGATTCGCACAATGGCCAGGGGAAGAAGAAGGCAAGGAATAATTCCATATACGAATAATGTGCCGATGATGAAAACTTTCCAACAGGTTGTCCTTTGTGCCATTGAATTGGCCAAGTACGTCCACGATAAAGGCAGAAGCGCCGTGGCAGCTGGAAAACACCAGGCGGCCAATATGCCGAACATAACTCTTCTTTGAGTCATAGTGGTCAGATACTTCAGTGGCTTGACGATCGCGATGTATCGATCTACAGTCATTAAACAAAGGTTTGTTACGGAAGCACAGAGGAAAACATCAACACACAGCCAGTGAATATGTCTCTGGTAGCAGAATTCTTCCGCTTTACAAGCTCTGTAATAAGGAAGGAACGAAGCCCCAACAAATAGATCAGCTGCCGCTAAAGATAAGACGAACCAATTTGCTTTGGAGTGAAGCCTTTGCCTGAATGTGATCAGATATATAACAAGGCCATTGCCGACGATTGCGGTCGCAGTAATGATCCACTGAAGGACAACGACAAAAGTTTCTCTCCCTTGCATAGTGATTAGTTCGATATCTTCGAGAACACTTCTTCCATTCCATTACGTTTTAATAGATCAGGTTGTTACGAATGAATAAGCAAACATTAATTTCACTTCACTTTCACGTCGTTTCGTTTATAGAAGAGCTGAAGGTCATAACATATTAATAAACCATAAGGGAAGATTGGCTGCTCTGACCACCATGGCATTAATAGAAAGATAAGAGTCTAAATTTAAACCACGAGAAAAAAAATAATCTTACGCTTCCAAATGCCATAACGTAGCTAAGCAAGGCCATTTCCGAGTAAATCTCCCTATTTTGGACTGAGACGAGTCATTTTTCTCTCTCAAAAGCGTGATTTTTAAAACGCTCGTTTCCTTTGTCACGAATACCCTCTCAGCTGGGGACCCTCTGGAAAGTACCCTTGACATTGTTCTAAATTTGAACGACAAATCATTTTTCATTTTGCTAAGTGAGGTTAACCACATCTAAAACGCTTCTGTCGCATTTTCCGAAGAATATCAGCAGCTAAGAAGCTTACATGGAGCTGTTCGACAAATTCAAGTTAAAATATACGTTATACACGCTATTTAAAAAAACTATCTCTATCTCAAAATCTAAGCCACTCGCACTATTAATATCAACAACGACAAAGGGTAGTAAAATATCGAGTTTATTATAAACAGCTGGGAAATGCTCTTTCTTGCATGTTAATGCATTGAATATGTACTGGCGAGATTCTTGTAAACTGTGGTTCGAGTAAACGATTCAAAAAGGGAAAAAACTCTCACTGAAAGATCGACATATCTGCACGATTCAGTTGAGAAAGGACACAATTCATACGCCACAAAGATCCTCAAACGATCATCCAGGGACAGACGGTACTCCACTTCATAAAGATCTTGGCCTATAGCGAGATTGTCTCTCACACAAAATGTTACACCTTTGAACGGAAGCGTAAACCCGCGCGGTGCCGTTTTCTTCGCTGTTCAAGCTGAGGTAAATTGCCTTTTCAACACAAAATAAAGCAAATTGTTTAATCGTTTATTTGATTATTATCAGTTTTAGATCTTTTTTCAAATAATGGGATATTGATTTATCCTGATCTTATCAATTTCAATATTGCAATGTTTATGCAAAAATTTCGTAATAAACTTTATCCTTCGCCAAGGCTTTTAGTTTCTGAACAAATTGTTGTGTTGCGTTGAAGGGCAAGTTAACCAATCGGTTGGTGATCACATATAAATAGATAAAGGCTGGTTAAACAAAGCAGCGAATTTTCAAAAGCTGAGGGTTAAAAGACCGATGAGAGCTAGCTCTTGGAAAGATTAATACTTGAAACGTAAGCTATTCAAAATTCGCTTGGGCGGTTGATGATTATACGATTGTTTTGCTTCACACCTTGATGTATTCTCACCAAGCACCCGTCTCTCACGAGAGCCCAGCCCTCTCCTCCCCCCTTGTCATTACGCTTATGGCTTACACGGGTGGTGTAACACACATTTTCAAAGATAACATGAATTATATGCCTCTAAATCCATATAGAGTTATATCTTGCGTTTACAGGGATTGGAACTATCGAGCACGACCTGTGTGTTACGTCTATTACGGCAACACGGTTTTCCTGTGATCAAGAGCTTTTTCAATGTTACGTTCCTTAAACGTGCTTAGATATCAGTAACCCTTCATCTTTATGATTTGATTAATGAAGAAGGACATTAACTATCGCCACTATCGTTGAAACTCCGTTCAAAATAATGGAAATGAAATAGAAACCGCCAAACACCTAGAGAAGGCAAACGCAGTTTCAGATCAGTTCCCCAATCCATTTCTTTTACAACCAACCTCAAAAGTGGATGAAACAAAACGGAATAAAAGAGTTAAAACAGAAACAAAAAGATCGGGGAGGGGGGCTTCCGTAATCGAAGAGTCTAATGGTCAACGTCAATAACTAATAGTCAACGTCTTTTTTAAGGATACATATAATGTACTCCATACCATTTAATTAAACAAATTACAGTGCAAGGAATATTTATCAACAGCCTTATTTAGTACTTTACGCCACCACTTCACTTTATTGTTTACAACAGTCTTTTACGTTCTATTACTTAACTATTAACCATATCCACATACACACTCAAATGTGCTAAGCAGATTCAATTCAAATGGAAAACAAAGTATTTCCTCTTACAAGCATGCGTGCTGTAAAAAGTGTCGAAAGAATCTTTATTTCATATATATTGGGATTTACACTAGTCGTTCGTGACTCTGATTGGACGAACGATGTATTTTCACAGTCGTTCCCTTCCAATCCCTGAATTGAAATGTGAAAAAATCTCAGTTTGTATAGATTAAAAACATCATAGTGTGAAAGTGCTTGAACGATTTTTTACAGTCGTCGCGATGCATCAAAATACTCACTCGTTCTTTTTTATTCAATGCATCGCAACTCGCGCATAACAATCCGTTCGTGCGCGTTCTCCACGGAATAATCTGTACCAAATTATCCTCTCTCAAATAAGCGCCGCTCCTCTCCCTCCAAGTTTCTTCAAGGGCGAAGAGACAAGGAAAACCGTCAAGATTCAACCCAAGGAGAGTTACAGTTCGCCGAACGGAATGATTACAAGCCCCTCCCTTCACCACTATCCCTGGTTTATTCATTATTTTAAGCAGTGCCTAGGATTTCCATTCATTCAAGGAAATAGACTAACTCAGGGAAAAAACGAAAATGATCTCAAGCACAAACTTATCTTATAAAAATTCAATCGATAGTATTTGAATTATTTCCATCAGAGCTCATTTTGAAACTGAAGCAATCTGCAAGTTACCTTAAATTACTTTAAGTGACTAAAACTATTACTCAAGCAAATAAAGGGCGTGACTATCTAAAGAAACAGTGGTGTAACGTCAGTAGAGGGGTATAACAAGATAATCTGGTTTTATCAACTGAGTTAATAATGTAAATTGGTCACCGTAACGAGTTTTTAAAGCTGACGTTTCGAGCTTTAGCCCATCGTCAGAGCGATGACGAAGGACTACCTCTCGAAACGTCAGCTCGCTTAACCGACACGCTCGCCATTTTTCACCGGATGAACACAGTGTAAGTAACAGGGATATGACTAAAATGTGTAAGTGGAGGAGAGAGGATGAACCGAAGCTTAAGTACCTTTAAGACGTGACGATGGGACGAAATTGACGGGAGAGGAAAATGGAGAAGAAAATTCATGTATTCTATTAAATATCAATGCAAAGATCCTGAGTCCGATGCAGTCGAGTTGATCATTTTTTTAAATCAGTGTAGGTTTCCAGAAGTCTTCGCTTCTTCCATTCTCCTGATGTAATTGGTGGATATTTATTTGAGCCATCCACGCACTCAATAAGTGCATCATGGTCTGGGTCGACAAATAATACTAATGAACGGCGAGGAACAGAGTGTTTTTGTTCAGCTTCTGGAATCAACACACGATGGACCTGGAAGAGAGAAATTGGTTGACAAAAACAAGAAGTTTTCATATTTGAATGTAGCTGAAAATTTAAGCTGAAATTGATTGAATCTAAGCTGAAAGTAACGAACATTCAATGAAAATGAGAGAACCTATCATCTAAAAAAAAGATAACAATCTGTGTAGATTAATTTGGATGAACACCACAAAAAAAATTAAGTTCATAGTAGGAAAATAAATGTTCGCTATTAGTGCTGTGCAGGAAAAAGGAAAAACCTCTATTTACTTTTTCGTCATCTCAAGTGGTTGCCACACAAGCAAGCTACTGTATACAACCTGGACAAGCGTGGAGAGATGCTATAAAAATGTGACCTTGTGCTTCAAAATTAACATTATATGTAGCAAAAAACTGCGTACTTCACATCAACATACTACATGTTGTTATAGCCGAAAATATTTCTCACTGCACGAGCACATTTTGTTCTCGTCGACCCCTAATTAGAAAATATCTAAAAAGATTCGTTCCCAAACTAGCCAATAAAGGAACATTTAATACCGTGGACTTAAGTTTATCAGCTGTCCATCTCTGCATCAGGTCTGCAATATTCACCACTACTGTGCCTTTCATGGGTGTGGCTGGTATAAACTGGCCATCGACATTTTGTACCTATTGCGACATTATTTAGAAGAACATTTATTCTCACCGGTAAAGCCCAGCCAATTTAAACACAAATCATAAACAACCTCTCACATTTTTTACCATAATGGCTACGTTATTGGCCCTGATTTAAGCTGTCAAAGTTTTGAACGGCTTGGCTTCAAAATGTATTAACTCTCAACTAGGAAAATATTTTTTGCAGTCCCTTGTGAATGTTGCAGTACATTCCATGGTCTCAGAGTGAGGACATTATTAACTCAATTTTGACTCAAGTAGATGATTTTTGTTTTCGGTTTGTTTGCTTTTTTTCCCTTTATTAGGAAAAAGTGAAAGGTTTCTATAAAGATCAAGCATAACCTTTCCATTAAAGTAAAAATATGTTAAAAGAGAAGAAAATTAATAAGTGTGAGTTTAAAATAAAACACATGAGTATCATCATTTGCCCAAAAGTTTCCAAGGTTCTTAATACTCCTCCCCAAGTGAGCCCCTCTCTAATGAGCTCCCCACTCTCAAACAAAGTCATTCCTCCTCTGCCACCCCCCAGGGGTATAGATGAACAAATAAACATAACAAGTACAAATATGGATGTGAATTTTAAAAAATTGCAATCCATCATCATGCAGTGAAAATAAATACAACATCTGCAAAGAAAGGAAATGACTACAAGACTGTTTAGATATTTGATTGTGTGACTTTGCCAGTTGTCAGGCTAATGATCAAGTGGGGCAAAAGAGAAGCTCTGAAAATATACCTTAGTTATCACATATTATTATGGGAAATTTGGGTAGAAGTGTGACTAATACTTTGGCAATGGTAATGAGTTTGGTTTTAGTTAATCGTGGTGTAATGTACATGAAAACGTATGAAAAACTCTATAATCACATTTGATGCTGTAAAATCAAGCATTCTTGTACCTCTAAGCCACCTATGTCATCTTGAAACAGTACTGAAATAGCACCATAGTCTGTATGCTCTCCACATCTGATCTGGCCAGGTTTGACTTTACTTAGATCTGATATCTTTGGATAAGCATTATACCTCATTTGAACTGCACCCTCGGTGGTTCCCATCTTATTAAAGAATTTGGTAAACGTATTGGATTCCTGGAAGAAAGTATGGCAAAAGAAGCTTAATTTTTAACTCATGAAAGATGACAGGGCTACATCTTTGGTAACTCCATCAACTTGACCAGTAAGCCACATGATGGAAACTGGGCCAAACTTTGTAATTCCTGTACAAATTTGTACTAAAATAACATACCAGTTGAAGACCAATGGCCATTGCAGTGAGAATCCTTAATGCAAGATCACTCATAGACTTGTAAAAAGAGTGCAAAGTGCTCTTAAATTGTGGTACTTCTGCACTGGGCCAGTTCTATAAGGACAAAGAGAATTTACATTCAATACCAAGTGCCAAATGAAATGATTTACTTGATAACATAATGCAAGAATTGAAACAGCCTGCAGAGCATAATTTGTTATTCCTCCAAGCCAAGTGAGAGCTTGTCATGTTTTCTCTGACTTTTGCAAATATCTTTGCTTGATGCCTTTGTAGCTCACACTTCTTAATCTAGACAAAATGCTGAAGGTTAACTTGGGATGGACTGGCATCTGATCCAGGTGGGTGGATGATTCTGTCCAGAGCTTATCCCCATTTCCATAGCATGATGTGCCTTACTACTACTCCACCTGGACACCATTCTAGGCCATCACATGTTTAACCCCCTAGTATTTCATCATATTTCCCTGAAAGTTCCTTGGAACCAATTTATATTTCCAGGAGGATGAAGATATTTTCTGGTCCAAAACACAACCAGGTCTTGACCCTCCATCATTCCCCCTCCCCTATCCCTTAATATCATAGAAGATGAGATAAGCCCTAACAGTGTAGACATAATAACTGTCAAGGGCTGAGTAGCACTCATACTTGCTTCATACCATCCAACATACATATCAGTGCAAGTCAAACCACTGAATGTGATTCTGCAGCAGGAAACACAAAGCTATAATGATCACAAGGACTGTAACATACTGAACCATATTCTTCACCCTTAAAATTTGTTACAAAAAAGAAAGACTTACAAAAGTTCCATCATCAAATGACTCAAGATCAAAAGATTCCTTCAAATCTCCAGGTCTGTCTAAGTTTGTTCTATAAAACAATAATACAGTATAAATACAGTATATACTATATAAAACCAAGCATCGTAAAGAGTTAAATATACAATTAAATACATTTCAATGGTATCACATACCTTTCAGCTTCTACAGCATCCCAACCATTTTGAGATGATACATTTTGGGAAGTGATTTTTTTCTTCCTATACTTAGCTTTCACTTCAAGACTTAGATTAAAAAACTTGTCATATGTTTCAAACACAGCATCCAACTGTAGCATGACAAAGGAGAAAAGAAAAGTGTTTTCGTTATGTAAGGTACTGCAATTCTAATCCTAGAGCAGACAACTGCATGATTAAAGGTACATCAGCCTCTGAGATTTAAAATCTAGAAATAATTGATTTTGGACAACGTGACCTCTTCCTCCCCTAAAAGCTGAAATTCACTAAATGCATTTCTTCAGAAATCATAAAAGACTCAACTTGAATATGACTACAACAAACAACAACAATTATACTTTTATGGAGATAATGTGCTTGATTCAACCTCTTTTATAGAATAAATACACTGTTTCACTCATGATTTTACATTTCCAGGAAGATTTAGCAAATTGTTTGGAAGACCAAGAGACACTGTTGTACAATCAATTTGTGCAACAGTGTTAGGTTATCAGGTTATCCAGGATACCATGTTAGGTTACCAGGTTATCCAGGAGACTCCTGGATAACCTGGGAAAGTTGGTTTATAATTTCATGCAATGTTTGGGAGATAGTGTTAATAGGAGTATACACATGGATTATACTCAGGCAATTTGTAGAACGTTGATGTGTGATAGATTTTCATTGAACCCTGACATTGACTTGATCAGAAAATTAATTACCTCCCTTGACCTTACAAAACAAATAACTATTGAACAACTTCAAACAAAACAACTGAAAAATAAAACTGACACTGAAATTTAATGCTAATGAGACTTTGGCTTGTAAGCACGACCACATAAGTTTACAGCTGATTAAAAGTCTCTTCTGCACGTTTTAGGAGCGATAAAGAGTGAACGGAAAGATTTCCGTATAGTTAACCCCCATATTATTTTAAAGCAAGCCGTAGTTCCGAAGCCAATCCATTGTATTCACCATTCTTTTCTTTATCCTAGAGTTGTATGAATAACGAAGTATGGGGCTGTGTGGAAATTTTGCTAAGTGGACAAACTTTGAATTTAAATTTCATCTTTCATATACGAGTTCTGTTACATCATACATTTACGCATAGTTAAGGGGCAGCACGTCGAAACCTGCACTCAACATTATTTTTTTTTTTTTTTTTGGTTTTTTTAAAAAGAAAGAATATCACTTGCGATTATTAAGCAACAAACTTACCTCTTCTTGTGGAATTCCATGATTTTTAAGATACACAAATCCAATCGTACTAAAAGCTCGATATAGTTGATCAGCAAGAGTTTTAATAGCTTGGCTGTTATTGTCTGGAAGATTTGCGTTTTGAAGGCTCATGGCACTGAAGTCAACAATCGGGATTGCACCAGTCGCAGCCGCCATTTTGATCAAACGTTTTAGAGTAGCCCTGGGACGAGCTGTTCAATGACTAAGGGTTAGTCTTTCGGGTAACTCTTTCGGGTAGTTCGGGTTGCTTTCGGGTATGACCAGTCAAGGGGGGAAGAGAGAGGACCCTAAGAACGAGGTTGCTCAAAAAAACGACAGGAAAAAAATCGTTGCTAGGGAAAGGCATAAGGGTATCTAGATTTCCACAAAATTTGCTTCGAAAGATTAGCCAAATGTCGTTGAGAAATGCTTATGAAAACTAACAAATAGGTAAACACAACAGGCCAAATACCGAATACTCGTACTTTTAGTAACACGAGGAATCTTACAGCGTTCAAATGGTATCAACACCACACTGAATTAGTAATTTCGAAAGTTGCACAAATAGCTTGGTCGATACCATTAAAAGAAGTTTTTAACAGGGTGTTCAAACGTAGATTTACAACTAGAATATCCATTCGCAGTGGTATCAGTGGGAATCCTGAATCCCATTCAGCGAGCAAGATCCATGCATCACCTACAACTTTCGTTTATCAAAACTAAAAAAAACTATAAAACTTACCTCCTCTATGCAACTTTCGGAAATAAAGGTAAGTCTTGTGCTAATGCGTGTATAGAATACACACCTAATCCGACAGTTTTGAAAAAATCTTCTGTCAGTCAAACTTCAATCACAAAGCCTCTTTGGTTCATGGCCTGTTCTCAGAGCTGCAACCGAACTGATCACATCCTTTAAGATGCTACATTTAAACAGTGAGTTGATTATTGACGTCTGACTAATCTTAAGATCATCGTCTGCATAGACAAAAGGCGTGCGTCATTTAATGATCGTCTTCCTCTTTTCAACAACATCCGTTCATGGCGTGCCGTTTTAAAAATGATGTTTGCCTGATTCTTTTGAGAAGAGTAAGGTAACCCAAAAGTATGTTCCGTGGGAAGAGTTTGATTTTTTATTCCAAACAGCTCTGTCTTCAGCTGCTGATCACAAAAGACGTCAAAATGAGTTGAGAACATCACTCAGACACACAGTCACTCAATTCTCATTGGCCCGCCGACACCTACGTGATTTCCGTTTGCCGTTTCTCTTCAAGCCAGAATCCTCTTTGCCAGCAAACTGATTTCTCAAAAGTTACTCAGTTTCATTCTAACCATATTTATCAGTCATATTTTATCGAGCACATTACGCCTCAAAATAAAACTTCAGCAGGAGCTATTAAAAAATTTTCCCCACAATAAATGTCTCTTTGGAAATAGATTACAAAAGATCTCAAAATGGATCAAGAGTGTCAGCTTGACACACTCGCTTGAGTTTCAATGGCCTGCGAACACATACGTGATTTCCGGTTTCCGATTCTCATCTGAGCGGAAATGCATTGGCTTTCCATGGCTAACGTCTCAAGAGCGCGACTCAGTTTTATTCTTAAGAGATTCTCGAGTCATCTTTGCATCGGCAGAAGAGAGTTCAGCCTGAACAATTTGACCCTTGAATTCTCGTTATGTTTCTTCAGCTACAGATCACGGAAGAGCGGATGTTTATGTATTCCTAGTTGTCGCTCTTTCTTCTTCTTTTTCGGCCATGAACGCGTTTAACTTTGTGTGCAACCACAGTTTAAAGTTATCTGTGATCACAAACAGTATGTTTGTGGTGCTATATTTAAACAGTGGCTTGATTATTAATGTGTGACTGATCTTGAGATCATCGTCGGCATACACAAAAGGCGTGCGTCATTTAATGATCGTCTTCCTCTTTTCAACAACATCCGTTCATGGGGTGCCGTTTTAAAAATGATGTTTGCCTGATTCTTTAGGGAAGAGTAAGGTAACCCAAAAGTATGTTTTGTAAGAATAGTTTAACTTTTGATTCCAAACGTAACAGCTGCGTCTTCAGCTGCTGATCACAAAAGACGTCAAAATTAGTTGAGAATATCACTCAGACACACTCACACAAGTCTCATTGTTCCGCCGACGCCTACGTGATTTCCGTTTGTCGTTTCTCTTCAAGCCAGAATCCTCTTTGCCAGCAAACTAATTTCTCAAAAGCTACTCAGTTTCACTCTAACCACATTTTATCAGTCATATTTTATCGAGCACATTACGCCTCAAAATAAAACTTCAGCAGGAGCTGTTAAAAAATATTCCCCACAATAACTGTCTCTTTGGAAATAAATTACAAAGGATGCCGAAATGGAATAATGGACCTTTTTACAGTTCCCGGCGCCATATTGGATTAGTAACCGCGGATTTGGACCCCCAGCAAAACTGAGTGAAACATCATCCCTGACGTTCTAGTAGAAATACTTTACGTTCCAGTGCGTATTAAAGTATGTTTTTGATTCAAAACATGCAATTGGCAGCTGGAAATGACCCTTTCTGCGAAAGTCGAACACCGTTAGATTCAATAATAGACAAACTTTTGACTTTAATTTATTTTGTTATTGTTCAATGCCCGAGTGTTTGGACGACATGGTACAGTGCGAGTTGTGCGAGGAATGGTTGCACATGAGCTGCGAGGGATATAAGACTGCCCTGGAGGGCAAGCGACTCTGCATTGTCTGCAAACCGCTAGACTCTAAACGTCTTCGTAATTGTTAAGGTGTTATTTCTCAACGGTTAATATTCGTTGAAATTAGAAAATAAGATTGAGTTCGATGTAATAGTCACCACTTTAGTTAAGACGTAGACATTAATGTTGATTTGCCTTTGAAAATAAGCTGAGAGTTCCAATTGCTCAGAATAGAAACATTTTTACTTACCATAGGCTTTACGAACGACTTTTAGTAGGAGTTGTTACTTCGTTCTTGTTCAGAAACTGTTTAATGTTATTTAATTAGAAAATCAGACTGAGTTATTTTTGTGACCGGATGCAACAGTTTGCACTGTTATGACGTTTCGTATTAATGTTGATTCGCATCAGAAGAAGCAAAGATTTACTGGAACAATTTCAAGAGTTCGAATGCAGTAGTTTGTTTACATTTAATTATTGCCTATACTGGACGACTCGCTATAATACATGCGGCAGAATTGGAACGAAATGGCTGTTTTTCTGAATGTTGTTCTGTTATGGAAAAGAATATCGGCAAAAAGCTTCCAAATAGAATTAGTGACCAAGTATGATACAAACGATGCTTAAAAGAAACGTTTTGTAGGGGTGTCCAAATCTGCGAAGGGGGGTCCATATTCGCTAGCGGATTTGGACCGGGGGGAGGTCCATATCCGCTAGCGGATTTGGACCGGGGGGTCCATATCCGCTAGACACCGGCGGTTCTTTCAGACAGCTGATATGCTGACATTTCACGTTCTAATGCACTTTTCAATGCGATTTCTCCCTTCAAAATGGTTCTTTAATACAACAATATGGAAATTTCGTCATTAAATGACACCCAGAAACTCGAAGCAAAAGATCTCAGGGAGATTTTAAAATCTAATTCAAAATCGACGGGCGGAATGAGAGCCGACTTAAAGTTCATGCTTTGCTGATGTGACACGTCCTTCCATCAAGTAGTGGAGAAAACCGAGAGCTTCTTACAGATGTCTAGGACCTAGAACAAAACCAGAGCGACTTCAGATACTAAGCAACTATAGTAAGGATTTCAGCCCTTGGATGGTCGAGCGATCTCCGTAATTTACCTGAGATTAATTTCATTCAGCTTTACGATTACCTTGTTGTTTCACGAGAATATCGCCACATCGTGTTAAGAGGAACGCATCACAGGAAGTACCACAGAAGTTGTTCAGTATGGCTTAGAAAGCGAGGCAAAGGCTGTAGCCCTCTAGGTAGAGGAGATTTGTTATTGCTGCTGTTGTGGTGGTACTTGTTGTTGTACCATATTCTTCAGTTAAAGTTATTCCCATTTTGTTTACCAAGATGTATTTTAGTTTGCCATTTGTACATTGTATCTTATGGGAAACTATACAATTCAAACGTGATTTCCGGTTTCCGATTCTCTTCTGAGCGGAAATGCATTGGCCTTCCAAGGCTAACGTCTCAAGTGCGCGACTCAGTTTTATTCTCAAGAGATTCTCGAGTCATCTTTGCATCGGGCAGAATGGGTTTCATGTAAGAATAAAGTTTAGCATGAGCAATTTGACCCTAGAACTCTCGTTATGTTTCTTAAGCTACAGATCACGGAAGAGCGGATGTTTATGTATTCCTAGTTGTCGCTTTTTTTTCCTTTTCGGCCATGAATGCGTCTACCTTTGTGTGCGACCACAGTTTAAAGTTATCTTTGATCACAAATTGAACGGGTGCACAGAAAATGGAATATTGTTATCTAAGGGTGTGTGGCTGATAAACAATGTAGCGCTTGACTGACCGTGTGCACTATACAAGCCAACGCTTCTTCCCTTCTCCATTTGAATTTCTCTCTCTTTGTAAAAAAAAACAAGGATATTGAGTATACTAGATCGTGGAAAAGGTGTCAAAATGTGTTCAGAGTTAACCATAGAGATGCAATCTACTTCTCAAGTTCCACTAAGTTTTATTTATACCACATAATGACGTCATTATTATTGACTATCATTGTCATCGTTTCGTCATGATGGGTGTATAACTTATATATCCAATAAAATAAATAAAGTATTGTAAAGTTATATTGGTCATTTCTAACTTCTCTTTACGTAATAAGAATAATTATTCACGCATTTTGATCTGTAATTTTCGCCTACGATCTATAACACTGCAACAAATGGTTGCTTTGTTATCATTCAAAACAAATAGATTCCATGTTGCCGTGGGTATGTACAGTACAGTAATAGATCGCACAAGACGTCAAAATGTGGTAAGAACATCAGTGACACACTCGGCTGCGCCGTAAGTGCCACTTTTTTGTTCTCACCAAATTTTGACATCATCTGTGATCTGTTACTGAACAAACACACAGCAAAGAATTTTGATAGAACGTTAAACCAAGATAACTACATCGGCCAACCAGAACAAAAAAACAAAAAAAAACATCAGAAAAAGCCAATAAAAATGAAACGTAAAAAAACAACCAAATTGTCTTAAGTGCGAGAAAACGCGAGCAACCATGGTTAAATTCATTGGTCAAGGTGACATAAGTTCTCTCTAAACCAATCATTGAGCACCACGAGAATTATCAAAAAAGAGACCCAGATTTTTCTCGTAAATTAATGGAAAAAAAACCCTATCAATATGTTAGCATTAAAAATGTATTCTTCACTGAGATAAAGATAAACGTAATCCAGTAGTTAAAATTCCAATTGCATTGGCATGTTTGTGAAGTTTAGGTTCACTTGCCTCACTGTCAATAACTATATGTGGCAGAGAGTTTTCCCTTGATCCATTCTCCAGCTGTAATCGGTGGATATTTGCTTGAGCCATCTAAACAACTTATTAGTGAAGACGGATCTGGATCAACAAAAAACACCAATGACCGACGAGGAACACGCCGCTTGATTTCTACTTCAGGTATCAGTACTCGGTGAACCTGAAAGAATTCGATAAACGTTCTGATTATGCACTATATCCAAACCATTATGCAAAGATCACGCTGCATTATCAAGGTCCTTGTAAGATAACTGTGGGTGGAGTAAAAATGAGGTAAGGAAACGTTTGTACTCAAACAAAGTGGCCCACCCAGTTAAAGCTTACCTTGCTTTCCATACCATGAAGTGTCAAGGAGTGTCACTACCCCTCTCCTTCCAACACTGGCTGGGATGCTAATCTATTGCTAGGTTACCCCCCAGTATTTTATCAAGCTACCCTGAAAATTTGCCAGTACCCATTTATACTCCTGTACAAAGAAAGGCACCGTGAAAGTAAAGTGTTTTGAACCTGGACTGCTTGACTGATCAATTGATTTATTTGTGGCAACAAATTTTGAGCATGAGCCTGACAAAAATTTACTGGTGAATACTACGCACTCCAAAGAAAATATATCAGGAAAAGAATGAAGACAAAAAGAAAGGTGCAAAATCGATAAATTTATAATAAAACACACACACACATGTATGCACACAAAACAGGGCATACAAGGTACAGTTACAATAGAAAGCCCAAACAAATGTAATATTTGTAAAATGCTGACTTCTAAGAAATGTTCTAGTACACATTTTAACACACAGAGAAGTTGTCATGATTATCTATTGTCTGCTAGATTCATACCGTAGATTTAAGTGTGTCACTTGTCCATCTTTGCATCAAATCACCAATATTTACTAGTACTGTTCCTTTCATGGGTGTAGCAGGAACAAATCGCCCATCATATTTAATGTTTGAAACCTGCATTTAGCAATAAGTACAATTTAGTATGATACTAATCAAAACTATTAAAAAAATCATTGGACATGATTTGTCTTGGCCAATGTGACTTGAGACCACTAGAGACAATGCAAGAATCATTATTTTAATTGAACAATGCAAACAATTCATTTGTTCTGTTTTAACTATTTCTCCCTTAACACTATAAAGCACCTGGATTCTTTTTGAACTTTTAACTTTCACCTTTTAAGTTCACGTTCAAAGATTTGCTTTTTTGACAAATGAAGTCTTAATTGTGCACTGGGAATTATTTTGCTTTCATCTCCCAAGTACAAGTGTCCCCTTGGATAAAAGAAAAACTTTATTCTAACCTCAAGTCCACCCACATCATCCTGAATCAGCAATGTAATGCCACCATAATCAGTATGTTCCCCACAGCGTATCTGGCCTGGCTTCACTTTCCTGATGTCTGCTATCATTGGGTAGTAGTTGTATCTGAGCTGAGTGCCACCAGAGGATGTACCCATATTCTCAAATGCATAGGCAAATTTGCTGGGCTCCTTGTTACGAAAACATGTGGTGGAAATGTTACCTTAAGTTTTCAATCAAAACAATTACTTTAAATTGAACCATAGGGTAAAGAGTCAAAGACAGGGCAGAGTAGCAGAGCAGGGAGTGCATTCAAAACTACAGATAACAAATGTTTAGCACATGATATGGTACTCAATTAATTTTATCAAATGAACAAGACAGGATATGCTTTGCATCAGTCCATGGTCAATCTTTGGACTTCTATGCTTGCGAAGTGGCTGTACAAAATCATAAGATTATAATAGATAACATGCAATTATAATAATGTGACTACAAAAGATCAAATCTTACTTATCATCGAAAGTTACCTTCAAAATAATACATAAGATGGAAATCATACTTATGGCAACTTACCATTTTTAGGCTTATAGCCATTAGAGACAGCACTCTTTTACTAAGAGCCATAAGGGACTCATACATAGGAGTAATAGTTCTCTGGAAAATTGGAACATCTTTGTCGGGCCAATTCTGCCATGATAAAGTTGATTTAAAATAAGCCAAGTGAAGCCACTCCATATGTGAAATAAATGATAATTTGTGTGCATACTGAATTTGTTGGCTGTCATTAAAATCATAAGTGTGTTTTTGTGAAAAACAACTTAAGGTGATCACACTGCATGTGAGAGTTAAGTTTGCAATATTTTCCAATGGATAGAATGACAACAAACTTATTCTATATGCTTGTTTTGAAAGGAAAGTAACAGTGCCACTCACAAAGTTTTCATCATAGACTGCACCCACATCAAATGATTCTTTGAGATCTCCAGGTCTCTCTGGATTAGTGCTGTGCATAAATTAGACAAAGAGACTTCAATCATGATTTTATAATCTGCACTGGACTGTTAACTTGCGAATAATACATGGCCAGTATGGATGTTCAGAGCAAAGGAAGTCATCCTCTTTAAGACACTTGTTGGTACTGGCTGTACTAAAATAGGTAGACAAAGGCATTGTAGCAAAGGGAAGCCGAGAGAGACCTTGGCTTCCCTTCCCTTCAGAAACACAGAAAAAGAGTGAGCACATCCATGTCCGCATTAGAACTTGGAAGTAAATAGAAACTAAGACTAAAGATGGGTAAACTTGAGGAACATGTTGACATGGTAGGTCTCTCCTAGCAAGGGATCACAAACCTTTCTCTCTCAAGAGCATCCCAACCATTTGAAGATGTTCCTTTATCCTTAGTGTACTTTTCCTTTACATCTTGGTTTAATTCAAAAAACCTGTCAAACGTCTTGAAAACGGAGTCAATCTGCAAGGTAAAACAATCAGAAAAATGACGAAAAAGTATCAACAGACCTATCACCACCTCTCACTCATGGTATTGTTGTGCCTGGGCACTAATAGCTAA